CAACAATTCTTCCACGTCAGACACCAATCCGGCCATGGCTGCCTGCATTAGGGCGGTTCGCCCAACCACCTTGTTCGCAGAGACACGCGTCCTGTTGCGCAGGTTGTAGCTTGAAAGTGACTGCACATAGTTCCATCGGCTGGACTGAGATCCCAAAGCCATGGACATTGAGCTTGAAGGCGGCTGCTGCTGGGGCGCGGGAGCCGCCAAATGGGAGCTTGTGTCTTCTTTACCTTGGATTTCAATCAACATCTGGCCAGCGATCCTGTCGAAAGCCATCTACTGCATCACTACTTGCTTTGCCAAGATTCTTGTCGTCGGGTAGGGCGTGGAAGTGGATGCCTTGCTGTGGGAGTCTTTGGTGGGTGGGCCTTGCTGGAACACTGAAGCCAGCGGCTCTATCGGAGCCTTCTGCGCAGCCTGTGCAGCGGCTGCTCTCATCAATGAAGGAGCCGCCGAAAGGTCGGATGTCTCCAGATTCTCAGGCCCATCCCAATCAGTAATCACCTCCATGTCCTCATCTGGTTCAGGAGCCATTTGTGGCAGGGGTTTTGTGGTTTTCGCCTCATCTTTCTTCACAACAGGCTGACTCGTCGCTGGCAGACTTGTAACAGGTGCAGAAACGGCATTTCGTCGGGAAGCCGGGAATCGAAATCCGGTTCCCGACGTGTACCGTGTGGCCTCTACTGCTGCTCGTGCTACCTGGGCAGTCTCATCCTCACATGGCTTCCCCAGCAACAACATCTATGGTCTACGATTCTCTGGCAAGCCAGAGAACATAGAAAACCCCAAGTCTTGAGAGCTCAATGGCTTAGCACCGGAGATCGTGGGTACTTGACTCCTCTTCGAAACATGTCTCCACCACAAGTACTGGGTGACAGACTGTAGATGATCTGCAACTTGCTCGAGCAGCAGACTGGCCTCAGGGCACTCCTCCGCTCTGCATTTTCTCCTTGGCTTCAGGCCCCCAAGGCCAAAGGGACGCGGCTCAGGACTCGGCCTCGAGATGCGGCCTCGACTCAAAGGCTTCAGCGTGAGGCGCGAGGGCTCTGAAAGCACCCCTGTTGGGCTGCGCGAGGCGCGCCGCCGCGCCTCGTCTCCAGGCCTTTCTGGAGCTCTTCGGCTTCGGGCGCCTGGCTGCGGCCGTTTCCATGTGTTTCAAACCCTTGTTCGGCTGCCTTCCAGAGGGGAAACGCTGCACCGCCCGGCATAGCTTCGGGCCTCGTCTGAACCGGCTCTCTCTCACAGGATGGATGGAGTCTAGTCATGTCTGTTTGACGGCTTCGGCTGCTGCATGATGATGGTGAAGGTTGCCGGCAGCTTAGCGCCATCAGGAGGGACCTGCAGGAAGGGCTCCGACGACTCTTGCTCCCTGAGCCTGCAAGCGCACTCTTTCACACAGGCGGCTGTTGGCCGGAAGTAGGCGTCCACCGACGCGAACCTGTGCGAATGCTTCTGCTGATGTGCGCCTACGGCAACATCTGAACGCCAAATCGCCATCAGGCCTCCGTTTCAACCAGAAGCGGATCCTGGCGAGATAGGCAAGAACGCAGCAGCCTCGACAGGGAAGTCAGACTGGAGTGTTGTTGTTGTTTGTCAGCATTTTGAAAATTGCAGCTCTCCGGCGCCGCGTGCTGAATTTGTAGAACTGAGCGTTCGGCTGACAGTCGGACTCACCTAGTCTCAGCGGTCGGCAAGTTCAATAGCGACCAGACTCAATGACTCTGTTCACTGGTTGTATAAGAAGCGCACTGAACAGCTGCACGGTCATGATCGCTTGCTGAGGCGCGTGAGTCCAGGAAAGCTTTGCCCCCGGCAACACCTTCACAGGGCAGATGATGTACAGTCACGCAGTCATACGCAGTGTGCCCTCGGACTTGCACAAACTCCCAACCTCACGAACCAAAGCTGCATGCTCCGCCAGCACAGCCTCACACACTATGACCGGAACAGCCAAAGCAGCCGGCCGAGTTCTCTAAACTGAACCGAACCGAAAGAAGAACCGCAGCGAACCGCGCGAACCAAAACCGAGCCAAAATACTCATCCGGGAAACCGAAACGAACCGAAACGCGAAACGTGGTTTTACTGCAAATAGAGGCTGCAATGGTGTCCCTGCTTCGATGCCTCCTGGGAGTTGAGGTGCTCGCGGAACCGCTCTAACCTCGGGCAGGAAGGGGGGCCAGGTGGGGGCGAGCCACATGCCACCCCTGCGCCCTGCACTCTGCACTCAGCTTCGCTTCTTCTCGCTTCAGCGGCTCCCACTCCTGGTGTCCAGGACGGTGTGCCCCGGTTGCAAACGTCAGATCACTTCGAGATGCAGGTGCGGTCCTCCCAAACCTCTTCGAGGGTGGGCTGCATTGAGGGCTTCGTTTTATCCTGGGGGATAGCCTGGCAAGAATGGCGTCTTCTCCAACGGCGGGCAAGTCACAGATTCATCAGCCTCTTCGCGAATCCGCAGGTGGGATCTGTCCCGGTGCTCCGGCAACTCCTTCGTGCCTGCCATTTCTACCAGCACAAAGCACCAAAACGGACCTAGCAGCAAATGGGGATGACATGAGCGGTCCTCGCCTGAGTAGACTCTAGGTTCCTCGGAGCTGTCTGGCACTCGGGCAAGCCGCAGGCTACAGAAAGGACTCACAGTCAAATCTAAGCCAGTCGCATAGTCGGCACCATAGAAAGGAGCAAAAGCTTCCGCTCTCCGACGATCAAACAGGTGAGATGCCTCATCAGCCGAATGCCCAAGACAGCTGTATAAATGCCTTTTCCGGCCGCTTTCAGGGATCGACAGTCCTCCGCTTCTCCACGGCCTTCCGGGTTGCTTCGTGTCTCCAGACACTCCAGCCCCATCAGCACCCTATAGCTCTCCTTGTTGAGTTCTCCAACAATTTTCTGGGGGCCAGTCTTGCCTGACCAGGACAGGTCGCTCATGGAGGCTGTCGAGGCTCCCAAGGGCCGAGTCCCGAGCCATTGACCTCCATGCGCGCCTGCGGACGCTCACTGAAGGCTTTGGCGGCATGTGCCATGCGAGGCTGTGGCAGCCTTGTACATCTCCTGCACTGAATCGAAATGCCTCTTTCGGATGTCTGCCAGACCTTGCGAACACAGTAAGAAACTACAAGTAGCATGTCGCCGTGTTGAGATACTTGATACAGCGGGAAACTCAGAGGCGTGCTGGTGCTAACTGTCCAGCCCTTCGCAGGGGCAGGCACAAGCATCTTCCTGGCTGGCGGCTGGAGGCTGCATCTCTCAGCAAAGTTGCCAATGCATGCGATTAGGAATGAGGGTGTATGCACAAAGCTCACCGACGGTCGCTCCAATACATGCAGCGCAGGCCCTATCTTGTGCATGAGTCCATTGCTACAAGCGATGTCGCCCCGGAGCTCCACAGGCCGACTTAGAATCGCACAGGGAAATGAGAATGGGCCAGACTCTAAGATCCTCTAAGGCTCTAAGGCTCCAAATGCTCCAAGCCCGGCGCTCTCCTGAGCTGACCAGCTTTGCTGAAACCCGACGCTCCCCGGCGGGCCTCCAGACATCTCCAGGAAGAACGGCTGAAAATGAAGCAAAAAACAGGACAAAGACGCTGGAGAGCTTTCTTGTACAGGGCCATCCACATGCGACGGAGCGTTTACGACTTGTTCCCCACAACCCCAGGGGCCAGACAGAAATGCAAGCTGCATGCTTTCTCCACGCAGTGTCTCCTGTCAAAACGGACCGCTGAATGACTCTAACTTCGAAGCATCCATGGTGCTGCTGCGGCTGGTTCGGTGCTTTGCTTCATCGCAGAGTTATCAACGGTCCAGCGGAGTCCCCAGCATTCGAAGTTGCGCAAGCGGCCAGTCGTCTTCCACCTCTGCATTGAGGTGTCGGGACGCTACGAGATCTCGGAGTCTTGACAAGCTTCAGGCAGCATGCCCTGCCAAGAGCTCAGCCGCCTGCTGGGTACTACCGTATAGAGAACTGTAGACATCTGTAGACTGCACTTCCTGAAGTGGCCTCTGGCATCTTACAGAAGACCTCGGGCGTGATTCCCTTGGCCTTCGAAAGATGTCGAGCTCATGAAAAACAGCTGATGAAGGCTTCAGGGGAAAGACGACCTGGAGACACAGACATGACCGTTGCCCTTGAGGTTTCCGTGTTAGGTTGTCAGGATGCAGGCGGTGGTCAGAGGCTTCTACACAACTTCCACTTCCGACGCTGCCCGACCCTTGACGGTCAGACCGCCTCTGCCGGGTAACTTCCAATGAACCGGCTTGGGAGTGCTCTGCTGCCAAGCTTTCGCTTACACACGACTGTATCCAGAGATTGATGAGAGCAGTGGGCGCAGGTTCCATGTACTCTCAAGGTGCGGACTGTGAGAGCCTAGGCGGGACATTTGGTCAGCATCGAGACACATCAAGTCCCAAACCTTGGCGAGCTTCTCAACAGCTGCGTTGACCGGAACCAGCAATGTCAGATGTCTGCCTTGACCTCAAAATTAAAATGTCGAAGCCGTGGGCTGTACTCACCGTGTCAGCACAAGTGCAGCAGCGCCTGCCAAGCGTCGACGCAGCTCGTGACAGCGTGTGCCAGGCCTTGGCACATGCAGCAAGATGCACGTCTGACCTGGAGCGAACTCCAATGTGCATGGGTCTTTCTGCAAGTAAAGCTTCCGTGCATTGGCAATGATTGCGCGTGCGTAGGACAGCTCGCTGTCCTTGCCAGGACAAGGATTCCTTTTGCAACTCTGCATGCATCGCAAGACGAGACTGGAGAAGACAGGGGGCGTGGCCTCGGCGAGGCGTTCCAGAAGGCTTCGCTGGGCGGAGCCGCTCATGGCCCTTCATCTGGGAGCAACACTGCCGCCCATGAGGTGTGAACGTAAATGAACCTAACAGTGTGGGCAATGAGCTAATTCCTAGACTTCGAGTCCATCTCATTACTTGTTTGGGAACGACAAGCTGAAGCAAGCATAGCTTCAGGCTAGTCACTAGATCTGCGCGAAACTGCATGTCTCGAATTAGTGCGTGCAAAGCTGCAGAGCCAAGGTGTAGACAGCAAGATACTCCAATCCGGACTTTGTTGATGTGATGCTGCAGCACGAACAGTGCAGGCTCCGCGAGCTGTCGCTTGCATAGATGCGTTTGAAAGACACAGCGGCTGAACTGATCTGCAAATTTGTATAAAGAACCTGAAGGCATCTGAGGACACAGAAAGCCCGTATCAGCATGCAGCATATCCACACATCACCAGCATCAATCACCTTTTCCTTGTCAGGCTGCTGCTGGTCGTTTCTTGGCCGTTCGCGGCCGTTTCGTGCCAGAGCTGTACCTGTACTTGTGAGCAGGAAAAAACAGACAAGCAAATCATGGCTTCCAAAATCCATGCTTCGACTCCCAAGAAGGTGCGGTTGAAAACCAGAACACGGCGGTGTTCGATGTGGCAGCTCGTGTGGCTTCACTCTCCCGGCCTCTCTTCCAGCTGCGCCAGAAAGCCTTGAGACCTCTCCTGGTGTGCAAGAACCGATAGTGATTCTGCCACTTGTATGATGCAGAAAAACAACTTATGGACAGATTGGGTAGATTTTGAAGACGTCGGCTTGTCGCACATTTTAGATCCCGCACACCGGGCTGGCGAATGAATACGGGCGCGTTGTTCTTTTCCCAGGTGCCCATCCCCAAAGCTGGAACTTCATTGCAGACCTCGTCGCCACCTCGTGGGCGCCAGCGCTGCTGTATGCTTCAGTGCGCTATTGAATTCTGTGGCAAGCCACGCACTCCAGAGAGTGCCACTTGACCGTTCAAAGGGCTGCACAATGCTCGCACTACAGCCTCTCATTCTCACGGAAATGCCTAAGTTTCATGTTCGGAGGAAGTCTGACCCTCACTTCCTGTTGCAGCACCGAGAGTGGTCAAGGACGAAGGCATCGGTGACTTGTGGCCCATAAGACGCAAGCCTGTCTTTCAAGTGCTCAAAGCTTGCACCAAATCTGTCAGCAGGAACTACAGTAAGTTCAGCAAACCATTGAGAGAACGTGTGCAGCATTGAGTCCGGACATGCTGTGGTCAGCTCAGCTAGGAGAGGAACCGGAGGAAGACCAGACTGCAGGTGGCACATGCAAGGTGCACGCGTTGGGTCTCATGAAGCTGTTCCGGTGCCAGGTCGAGACCAGTTGAAAAACATAAAAATGCTTGATGGTAGACTGCTCTGATGGAAGTAGAGGTTTGGTTGAACATTCCGAAAGCAGCAAGGCTGCGCCTACCTGTGGCATGAACAAGGCCGCTCCTGACGAGAACGGATGGCGCTCGCCAATTCACCTTGTGAGCTGCCAAGCTCCGGGGCAACAAGATAACGTCGAACAACAAAGGCCAAGGCTGATTCCGCGCTCCGGTGCTGCTGCCCGCTTGGCCTCTACAATCTACCGTCTACACCTCCATAGGACTCTCTTTTGTTTAATCTTTCAAGCACCCAATCCTCCGAAGCCTCCTTGGCCGCCTTGCGTTGCCTCGCCGATTCTTCCAATCAAGTGCTGACTCAGCCATTCAAGCTTGGCGCTAAGACGAGCCTCTTCTTTGCCTGGGCAGAACCTTTGCCCTTGGCACGGTCAGGTGCAATCCTAAAGTCGAACCCCGAACACAGCTTTCCGGACATAGCCTCCGCCAACGCACAGTAGAAGAAACCGCGAAGCTGTCAGACGGCACTTGCAGCCGTTGACGTGGCGAATCGACGTCAGAGCTTGGGGCACACGGGCACACGTCGCCGGGGTGGCGCAGATAGGCTCAAGAGGTTCCGCCGTGTTATCGTGTAGGCGAAAGCAAACAAAAAGCCGCGAAACGATGAGCATGCGCGTGAAACCGCTCTCTTTTCGAAACCCTCCTACTGGATCTAGTGTTCTTTTCCCATCTCTGTTTCTGACAGTGACCATGCACGGGTGCTTTTTGGACGTGTTCGCTGCATTCTCGTGGGGGGGGGGGGGGGGGGGGGNNGGGGGGAACGGCGGATGTGGATAAGGAGAACCGTCCCTGGCAGGGTTTGCATTCTTTGTCGTGGCCCCTGGAGAAGTCGGTCGGTGCGATTCTCGGTAGGTTTAGCTTGCTAAATTCTAGTGTGGTCGCTCCATGCTCCATGTCTGTCTTGCCCAAGCAGGCTTAGCCCGTCCATGCCAAACCTCCGTCCCTGTCACTGCTCGTCAAGGATGCTTCAGGACAAGGTTCTCTCCTGGGAATCCGCTCGCAGAGCCCGCAGAACCTAATGAGCTGGAGCCAAGCAGATGAGAATCTCAGAATCTTGGTGGACAACAGCTTGGTGATCCTGATTTGGAAGCTGCGACTGCTGAGCTGTGAGGAAGGCTGAGGATGACTACGGCTCAACAGCTCAAATCAGCGAACGAGATCACCAAAGCAGCCGGTGATCTGAGCCGTCTCTCCCGTCTGATTGGTATACTGTCTGGTGAGGTCTTGGCCGATCTTGCGAGACCAGGCGAACGATCCACCTGAATCTAACAATCCACGAAGACATCTTCGTGCGACTTGGCCACTTGGCCTCTCCAGACGCGATGGCAGCAACGACCTGGTCGGAGGACTCATAGAAACTTGTGGACAACACTTTGTTTGCGTGGCCAAGTCTTCGAATCGCCCTGCATCCCCTTCGTTTGCAAGCCTTGGCAGAAAGGGAACGGGAACATGGGAACAGGCTCCATAAACAAAACCGAACCTTAGCCTCAAGCATCACATTGTCCACAATGTAGCCAATATCCCCGCTTCCCTCAATGTACGCACCTGTCTGCAGAATCGCTGAAGCTGGCTGTAGCTTTCCGGTTTGCGAGCTTTGTTCTGAGGCACGGTCGGAGTACGTCCTTTCTCTCCTCGCTGGAGCCAACCTTTTAGAAACGAAGCAGCACGCTGCAAAGAACCGTTCTGCAACCAATGCAACAAAGGCACGTACTGCTTCTCGAACTCGCTGATGCGCTCCTTTGTGACCTCCACGCTGCATCATAACAGAGTGATGATAGCTTCTTGAGAGTCTGCAGCTGAAGACTTAGTCACGGACTGGCTTGAAAAGCTGTGTGAAATAGGTGCGCCTGGCACGACATAGTGCACCATGGGACACCGACGGTACACCATCGGGACCAGATCAAACAGCTGAGTTCACAACCAATCAGTCTTAAGCCTTGCAGTCTGGCATCTGTCCGTGCCATGTCGTTTTTTTGCATTCTGCCTGTTTGCCTCCGTCCCCACAACTTGGTCTCGAACCCCTCCTGGCTTGGGTAGCAACCAGTCGCGTCCTTGGAGAATTGCGTAGATGACACGAAATGACCATGTGGAGTTTTATGACAAATCTGATCAGTACATGTCATACACGGCTATGCATTCGCAAGTCTCGCAGAACCGCTTGCCGCCGCGCGTCGTATTCGGCTCGCAGGTCCGGGTCGCTTAGAATGTGATGCCTTTGGTTGATTCTTGCATCATCTGGTCACGAATAGAACAATCAAAACGTCGTAGGATTCCGACACCTCGCCAAGGGCTTGAAACCTCTGCGTGGCATCTTTGCAACCTCAGCTAGATCGGCGACGCTGGGCACTGAGCGGCTGCGAAGACTTCCCTCACGAAATCAGAAAATTTAGGTGCTTGCCCTGATTTTTGTCTGGATGCCATCTCAATGCAGCCTTGTAGTACCTGCATTGGCTGCACTCTGACATGCCTCTGTTAGAACTGTCCCAACGTCCATTCAAATGTCAACAGCGAGCTGCGCAGGCCCTTTTCGGATCTGAGCAGGACTTGCATCGTTGGAAACGCCGAGCCTGAGCTGCCAGCCCCGGCCCTTTTGCAGCCGACTTTCAAGCTGTTGAGGTTGAGGATATCTGAGGATGGTACAAGTCGTACAGGTTTGCCGACTCCTGCTTCAAGCAACGAGCCGTTCTGCTTCTGTGGCTTTGTGCCTGTCCTTTCCAAAGGCCGCATGTATCAAATCAGATGCCATCTTTCCCAGGCAGGAACTCCCTACTTGCTTGCACGATGCCGCCCATGCGAATGTTCTCACATGCTTTTGCTTTGCACATGTTGAGGTCGGTGGGGTTAGAAGCAGCTCAGCGATAGTCCAATTGGGCGAGGCGCCCAGGGCACTTCAGGAGTTGCAGCACCTTGCAGATCTTGTGGTCAGGCTACGCCGACATTCCTGGCTGCGGCTACCAAGTGACTAGTAGTTGTGCGTAGCAGTTGCACACAAGGATCTTCCGTTGGCCGAAGGTATTCCGCACAGTCTTGCTCACTGTTTCGTGTCAGCACTTTCTCCTGGCCAGAAGGCGGCGAAGGTCGAAACAACCGTTTGCAGAAGCTTAAAGTTCAGCTCCATCATGCGGGCACAGACACACGAATGTGGACATAAGTCACTCGAAGTCACTCGCTACCCCGTCATATTTTCTAAGCCTTGCAGCTCAGCAGGACATTGCCTGGTGAATTGAAGCATTGTCACGAGTTGCAGTGATGCCCGGCTTGGCTCTTCGCCCACTATGTACAAGCTTTGCTTCCCCATGTCAGTATGCCTGGCAGAAAGCGTTGCCAGGAAAGCTTCGCATGCTGCGATCGATATGCTGCGAGTACCTACGTTCTGGGCCCCAGACTCTGAGAATCCCGGCCTATTGCGCCTGGTCGAGATCCACACGACGAAAGTCAGTCTGCGGAATTCCAACTTTGTCGGATGGCCCCGCTTTTACGAATCGAACATAGATCTTTCCGGCCGGGACCTTATCCGTGCAATGCAAGATGCAAAATACCATGATTTTGCATAGTGTTGAACCCGCATAAATGCACAGTGCAAAGGCTTAGCGGCTGTCTACATGATTAGAGGTGTTGTTCTGAAGTTTCGCTCTAAGCAGCTTGCCAATTTGTACGCGCCAGTATGCCCCCGCTCTAGTGTTTTGCCAGCTCGTGTACAGTAGGGGTGTTTTCTCCCACAAGCCACGATTCTGCTGATCTGTCGCTGTGTTCCGTATATACATGTATGACCAGCTAGTTACTTAGTTGTTTCTAGCGGAATGCGCCACGGAACAATAGCAGTGCACTGTAGGACCGTAGGAGGCACCCGCATGCGGCTTTCGATAGCCAACCCAGGCTCACTGCTGCCTATATCCACAGAATCTACAATTACGGGGCGATTGGCTTTCACCGTGCCCCCCCTGTCTGGGCTGCTGCTAATGACCTCTGTCTGGGCTGCTGCTAGTGACCTAGCAGAGGCTAGTGCTTTAGAGCTTCCTGCATCTTCCTGCTTTAACTAGCGAAACAGCTCCAAGGGTTAACGCAGGCAGCAGCTAGACAGTGTCCTCGTAGAGTTGTGTATTGTGTTCTTCTGTGCATGCAAGCAGTTCCGTCTGGTGAGGTGAAAGCATTGGGTATGTGTGCAAAACGAGAGATGTACCGCAGCCGGGAGACTGCATGAAGCTGCACATCTGATGTAGCCAAACGAAACCACTTGTGCAAGATGAGTTTACTAGCGTGGCTTCAGCTGCTGCAATAACGGCGAAACGGGAGGAGCTGCATGATCTGCTGGATGGTCAACTTCTCCCGCATGTTTCGACTGATGAATCTGACGCGGATGCCTCCTGAATTTCCGGAGCATTAAACTCATTAAATACCTCAATAACTACCCCCCGTGCTGCCAGCGTTCTGCTCTTGTCTCGCGCCCCCTGCGGGTCTCAGCACAGGGGAGGAGGCACGGTGTTCTCGCAACTCCGCGTACAACCGAACCGGATCTCTTCGGCTTCGCAAGTCAATTAGTGTTACTCGTCTGCTCCGACCTGCAAGAGACGACCGCAACTTGTCCGACGTGACAGTGGTACAGTGCTGCAGGGGTTGCTCAGCAAAGCTACTGCCAAGTACGTTTCAATCTGATGTCTGTGCCTCTACCAATGTGATCATGCAACTCAAGCTCCTGACCAAGTCCATACACTTGAAGTTCTCTTGTGCCCAAACCTTGATGGGTTAATGACAAGACGCTGCATGTCAAATGATTTCTGCATAAAGCATCCCGCTGCTGGATCAGCTTTGCTGCCCCAGCCAATGGGCCTGAGAGCTGCCCAAACGATCCCAGCCGACATGGTTTCGGCTGACGCTCGCTTCGCCTGCCAGAGCCAAGATCTTTCGACGCGGGCTCCTCCAGCAGCCTCACCTGCCGACAGGTTCAGAGACGTCCGAGGCGAGGCGTCTCTCCCTGGCCTGCTCCGCACCCAACTGCAACTGCACGATCTCAGCCGCCCCGACAACTTCCTCCATGGAGCGTGAAAGGCTTCGTTAAGTCCAAGACTACGGCATGATGCAAAGGAGGTATCCAGCAACTGTGCATTGAGCTACTCCGCGGTGATCACCCATGAGATGCGCCAGTGGAGATACATGCATCAAGAGTTGCATTCAGCGTAAGATGCGGCAACAGGAATTGCGAATGCCGAGGTGGATCAATGACATAGGCATAGCATGACACCAATGTGAGACAACCTGAAGATGCGAATAGGGTGGACTACGTCACACAGTCCCACAGGCCTGGCTTTTGATGCTCAGCGTCAATCTGTGTTGCGAATCGTACGGGTCGAAGTTGAGCTGGAGGGTCTCCTGTCGTTGTGTACTCCACGTGATTCGTTGTGTCATCTGTCAACGAGCTCAAGCGCAGCTCAGCACCTTGAAAACGCAGGAGTGCCCAGCTCGGTGATGCACCTGGAGATGTGGAAGCCGCTCTTCAATCAGTCCCTTCAAGATAGTCTCCAAAGTCCGGCCCTTGTTTTCATGGTCATGTTGTAGCCCAGTGAGACCTTGGGTGAGGTTGGCGGAAAAAACAAGGCGGTGCAATGGCTTGAAAAAAAATCATGCTCAGGTCACAACTTCGCAAAAGACATCGTTGAGCGAGTGCAGACGAGCAGAAGGAAGCCCTTCGACCTCTAGACACTGGCAAAGGGAAGACGTTTTGAAATCGCTCCAGGTCCCATGGCCTTCCAGATGAACAGTTCTACTGGGTGAAAGCGCTTCATGGACCTGAGATACGAAACAGCAGAGGCTTAGGCAGGAAACGTCCAGAAGCCACGCGAAGCAGCAGAGAGAAATGATGCCCTCTCAGAATCAGGCCAGCAGGTGGCCCAGTCACGGAAATCGCCGAAGACTGAAGCTGCATTCTCCACACCCAGGACCTCTCCAACTTTGTGGCTGAAGGCATGAAGTGTAAACTGAAAATGCTCTATATCTTCGCGTTGCAGACATGCACAACAAATTGCCAGAATTCGTTGAACCTCGAAAACGCGATCTTTGAACCTTAGCTTCACCGGAGGCGCCCAAACATCCTCCTGCAGTTTCGGGACGCCGGCTTCCACACCACCGCAATCGCAACGAGCGCGGCGATACCCAGAAGGATCTGCCAAGGTGCTCGACAGAGCATGGAAGGAGCAAGAAGGAGCTCTGTACCTGCTCGGTCTTCTCGACGGCATCCTCGAATCCGTTGACCATAGCAAAGAAGAGGTCGTTGAAGGTGACGGTTTTTAGCCTGTTGTGCAACAAATGGCAAGGTGGTTTTAACGGATTTCTCATCTCCATGTAACACCGGAGAGTACCAACCAGGCCAAGCAAACGCATGCAACGTGACCGCTAGGAGAAGCAGGTTCAACACTGTGATGACGGGGTAGACCTGCATGGAGAGTCTGGCTAGCAGCCAGACACGGCTGCCCAGCAGGTGGAGATAGGTGCAGTCCAGAGCACCTGGCCTTGTGAAGCCTGGTCTCACAGCAATATCGGAAGGGCCTGACAGATCCAAACGCTTGTGACCAACAGAACTAGCACAACGCATCTGACACGATACCTCAAGAGAGGCACCGTCCACAGCATCACCATGAGGCTGATCACCAACACAAGCACAATCTCCTGCACACAAAGCAGCAGTGAATGAACTCCCTGCTCTCCAGGAGTCCTGCCTCGGCAATGGATCCTTGCACTTTTGTGCCGGCCAGCGCTACAGGCGCCACAGTCGTCGTGTGTCGGAGTTCAGGTCGGAGCATCTTGGCTGCGCCACAGCTCCAACATGTCTGTTGGGCTGCCCGGCTGCCCTGGCGCGAGGTCGAAAGACCGGCCTTCCGCAGACGTTTGATCTCTGCCTGCAGCTCGGCAACGCTTGCCTTGCGAGGCGAGAGTGAGCAACGGCCGCGTGGTCAAAACCCGGCTAAGCTGCTGAATGGTACAATCTCAGGTTTCCATGCCAGGTTGAGCCACACGTCGTCAAGTGATGGAGCCATGACGCAAAATGGCCGACGCTGAATCGAAAGATTGTCTGGTTTGGACAGCGGCAGCAGATGCAATGCATCCCCCCAGAAGGCATGCAGTCGAGGCCGCTGCGATTGACCCAACGTTCGAAAGTCACTGTCTCTGGTCGAGGCTCGGGGTAAAGACCCGACAAAATCACTGCACAGGGGCAGACGGCTTCACTACTCGCAAGCAAGAGCTGCTTGCTATGCTGCATGCGAGCACTTCGAAGAGGTTGACGTTTGTTTTCGAGTTGTTCTTGCCCTTGTCTTCGGCTCTGGGGGAGGGGGAAGGTAGGAGCGTAGCCGGAGCGCAGCAGGGCTTGAGACGGCTTTAGGGCTTGCCAGGTTCGTCTGCTGTTCGTTGTGTCTTTCTTGATTAAGCTCCGCACGAAGATGAGCACGGAATTTATGCTAGAAGACCAGCCGGTGTCTACCCCGGTAAGAATATAAGAGATTACAGCTACATCCTGCACTGCTTTCGGAAGTCCACTCCTGAATTCAATAATTTAACTGCGACCCCTCCACTTACTACGACGTGTCTCGAAAGCAGTCAGGCCTCTCGCAGTCCGTCTCCCGAAAACTGGCCGTAGCCACCATCGTCCTTCGACACAGAGGTTCTGAAACTTCAGCAGACTCGAAAGGCGATTGCAAAACTCAACGCCTGCCTCGTCCATCGACTTCAAGACCAAAGCGTCTGTGTAGAGCGAACACAATGCTAGAGTAAACGTGGGGCTGCCTGGTTGTAGCCGTTACTTTCGGTCCCTACAGGCCTAGTGGAGTCAGATGTGCTGAGTTCTGACTGTACCTATGCTGCGGGAGACAAAGCTCGAACGATGTAGGACCGGCTTGTCGCTGCAAACGACTTTATCACTTCGCGGTACCACCACATTGCAATAGCCAAAAGACAGCGTGACACGGTGTGGCAAACCTGCTCGGGCCATACAGCTCGGCGAAGCTTGAATAAAGCCTCTAGTTCAAGCTCACAGCAAGTCAGGTGATCAACATTGGATACTTAAATCAAAATTTAGAGACTTGGAGATGATGTGAGACTCCCATGCCGTTTCCCGTTTCTGCCCTCACCTCTGTGATGCTTCTCTGGCAGAAATTCGCAACTGGATTAGCGGATTAGCGCCCGATTGTTTCAGGCGTACCCTGTCACCTGCGAAACCTATGTGCTGTGCACATGCGCAGTGGCAGGGCCTGTGAAGAAATAAGGACTATTTCACAAATCTGCCTCTTTCTGGCAAAAATGTTCCAGCACCTAAGGCCTAGGCCTTATGCGCGACAATGAGCTTGGTCATACCTCAGGCAGTCCGAGACAGTTGTTGAAGACGAAACGACAGCCGGGAGGAGCCAGGAGATTCAACAACTTCGGGGGAGGCGCCGTGGATCATCTCGTGGGTTTGGCACTTGTTCTCCTCGAAGCCTGCTTGAGCAAAGCGCCGGATGACCTCGTCGGAAAAACACACCTAAAGTCGCTTGCTCTGCAAGCGAAGTGTGGGGGGGGGCGGGGGGTGGGCCGCCTCTGCCGGGCAGAGCCCAAGCCCCTGCGCGTTCACGGTCACGTGCTGGAGTCCTTTTCCGAGAAAAAAAAAAACAAGAGAGACGACTGGGGACCGAGACGAGGCTTCTCAGAGAAGCAAAAAGGAAGACTTCGCTCCGCCGCTCGTCAGGCCCGGGCCCCAAAGTGCTCCCAGCGCGGGGCCGTCGAGGCTGTCGTTGACCTAAAAATAAAACAAAGGCCAAAGCCGAAGGCCGTCTGAGAAAACACACCCGTCCTGTGATCACCACTCGAGTCCGTCTTTCATCGCCGAGTGGCCATGAAGTCGTGGACCAAAAGACGCCCTCCAGGTCGCAAGGCCTAGCAGGCTTCTGCGCTGGGTGTTAGTTGCACCGCAGTTTGCACGAACCGCAAGCTTTGATCCTCGCATTTTTTATCACCTTCGCAGGTGGAAAACTTGCTTGCAGAAGCACATCTGGTCTGCACTGGCCTTCGCGGCACAAGAGCTGAAACAATTGATAGAGCCAGGAATAACGAGTTTGCATCCTATATCCCATGAAATCCCATGAAGCACTTGGGATAGTTAACAATCGAAAGCTTTGCCAGCATGTTGAAGGGAGCCATGGCGATTTCGTTCAACCCGACACTTGCCAAACCGTTAAACAGTTTGCCACGCTCAAGGGGCGGGCCTCTCGACTGCAGAATCATGACCTCTCTTGCATTTTGCTGCGGTTTCGAGCGGAACTTGGCAGCATGCCTAGTGTGCACCTGCATTCCTTCGTTCATACCACATCATTCGTCCTGACCACGAGCGTAGCGTGTCGATGAGCACGACTGTATTGCCTACCAAATGATCTCAGCATGCTGATGGTTCATGGTGGTCCTCATCTTTGATTCTCTGGAATATGTAGAGAGACTTCCCCGTCAGGCTTGTCCTCATTACCTCCGTTATAAGCACATTCCATGTCATGCCGCTTGAGCTCAGTACAGGTGTTGCAGGCAGGAAGATCTCCGTGTAGGGAAGTTGCTCTGTACTCATCGTCCATGTAGCTGAGGAAGCCGTAGCTGAAAGTCCTGCAAGCACTGCTAGCAAGCATCTGGTCTGCCATTCTGAGCTCCCAGAGCCCACAGACCTGCCTGCACATGGGACTCATCAGCGTCTTGTCTCCGCAGTACTCGACGGTGTCCTCGAGTGTGTCCTTGACTTGTCCAAGGGCGGTCCACCGGCTTAACCTGAAGTCCTCTTGCTAGCAACAAACATGCCGGTTGTTCGTACTCGACATTGGTTATTTCGAGCTTCAGAACAACGTCCTTGAAAGCGCGTCAAAATTAAGGTGCTTGCAAAAGGGCGCGGCCACAACTGCACACATAGCTGTATTTGATGCAGACTGCCTGCCTCTTCACCAGTCACAACATTTTGCTGAATGCCCAATCGCCAGGAGCCCTGGTTTGTCCATGAGATTTGTCTCGGCTGGCTTCGATGTACGACAGGTTCTGCGCGCCTGCCCCCGCATGCACAGCTCCACCTGCTCGCCGTCCTCGTTTGGAGCCTGCAAGCGGCATTCTCCAACAATGCCCCTACGGGGAGCGGCTCCGTCTGCGCCGTGTGTCCAGATCAAACTCAAGCCATTTCGCCCATTTCTCACATCAGCCAGCCTTGAACACTTCCTCCATATCGTACTCATTGAAACTCTCATATTTTGAATCGTCACCTCAACTGCGATGCATCTCATACCGCGGAAGCACGGTATGTTGCTGCCGGTTTGCATAGGCCGCCTGGCCATCCTCTGCACTCACTACACGATTCCTGATAAAAAGAAAACAAAGGCTTGAAGTTCTTCAAGGCATTGATTGCATGGGACAGTGTTCTCAGAAACCAGGAGCAGGCCAATGCACTAATTCGGAACCTGGATGCTCATGCATGCATGCGCACAGGCTTGTCCGGGGCGCCAATTGATTCCGGGGCAGACTACTCGATCACTGAGTATCTTGACATGGGATGGCTGCTGCGAAAGGGGGTTCGGCGAAGTACGTCTGCTCGTGGTTTGTTCAACACCTCCGCCCGACGCAATAAGATCAAAGATCTTACAAAGATGCCCACACACACGCAGGCATACATTCGCACATGGATTGTGTAGGCATGCGTTTGCATGTGCGCTTCCAGGAAGATCGACGGTCTCCTGCCGCTCGAAACTGAGGCAAGGACCTCAAGAGAATATGCAGTGCTATCTAGCCTGCTATCTTGTTCGAGGCATGCGAAGCTTTCAACGGGCTCCGCGACAGAGGATCTGCTGCGTGCGTCCATCGAGGTTCAACCGCAAGCAAACAAATTGTGTGGACGGACGATTTATGTCGCACGGGCTTCTAATACCGTGGGAAACTCTTCAGTCAGTGACCCGAAGTCACAAAGATTGATTCGTCGGACCGAAACACCGACAGTAGTAAATTGTTGACGAGCCCCAGCGTCGAAAGGAGCGATGATTGGCAAACCCAAAAAACTTGTCAACAGCCTCAGAACAAAGCTATGCCAGGAAACAAACGCGCCCGAAAGTCACTGATCGCTGCCGCTCGCGAAACTCCAACCCTGGAAGAGATCATGCCTACACAAGATGTCGAAACCCTGGAAGACATGATGCCTGGCATAGTCTGGAAAACTGCAAATCTCCGACGAGCGCGCCAGAAATCCGGCAACCAAAGCGTACTGAAGTATCGTGGAGCACCGCAACAAGGGAGTGGCAGCGCAGAAACCTGAAGCTGACCCGCAAAGCCTGTTCAACCGACCGGCAAAGCCTGTTCAATCAAAATGTGCATTGTCCCTCCTTGCAAATCCTAGACCAGCCATGACCAGCCAAGAACTGGGACGACGGCATACCTTACACTCACATGAAGCGATGCGACCCAGTGCACGGAAGCCTAAACGTTTGGAACACGGAAGAAAGGTCCGGCAATTCCTCTCTCTCGCCCTCTGATCTCCGAAGCCAGCAAACCACGATATGTGCCGGCCAGGCGCCGGGGCTGAATTTCTGAACAAGGGCCTGCGGAGAAATGCGAGCAGGAAGTGTCTGCACTTGAGAAAACTGTTTAGCCAGTCGCTTCAAACTCGCCGTTCTTGATCTCCCGAACGCCATTGAGGACGGATCCCCATCTTCGGAACCTTTGTTGAGCTGCATGGTATTTCAGGTGGATCGAACATCCATAATGGCCGAATTCATCTGCACGAGCAGGGAGGGCAAATGCTTCAGAGCCACTTCACAGA